GGGGGGGGCAGACAAACAGATAGTAGACATGGTGTACCCGCCAATATGTTCTACATACCGTAGATTGAAAACATAGTATTGCAGTGCTTATGAATGCCTAGAATAGCCAGGGTACATACTAATCTTTGAATAGCAAACAGTGTCAATATGGATAAAAAGGATCTATGAAGGAAAAAAGGCTGCAGTAGGTAATCCGTTGTAAGGCGAGATAAGAAGCTTCACACCCTGTGAAACCTTGAAATTACCCCCTAATCAGATTCAGTTAATCAGCGGTCATCGAGATTCGCAACTATGGTCTCGTTCGACTGGAGCTTCAAGTTGTCACCTTCTGCAGAGCCCCATGGGAAGAGAAAAGTCATATTAGAAGCGTTTCGTTGAAACACTTCTTCATGTTACAGAGAACAGCTTAAAGGGGTTCGTAGATAAGGTGATGGCGTCAGGGACCTCGGAGTCTGACTGACCTTTAGGTCACCCGATTCCTAGTTGTTTCCACCGATCCGGACCTCACGTTGAAGGGGTCCAATGGTCCGGCATATTCTTACTATAGATGGGTTGGGGAAGCAGCGTTTCAGGTCTGCTTATTAGTGAAAGTCTTCCACAAGCACGGTGCGCTCCCACGAATTTCCTTCATTCTACTGGTTTTCTTCAGTTGTTAGTAATCGTCCTTGTGTTTTTCATACTGATTGAATTTTATCAGCGCAAACAGGAAAGCGAGAAGGGACAGGTTCTGTAAGGAATGTGAGCACTTCACACAGTGAATACGAATTTATGACCGTTTCTAAAAGGAAGTGCATCATGTTTTATTACAGCACTTTAATGGATTTTAGTGTTAGGTGTGAACGGTTATCTCGTCGTGGCTGTAAAAAGCTTCAAAGAAAAAAAGAAAGAAGAGTGATGAACGCTGATTCATCCCACAAGAAAACAGGCTTTGTTTCCCATCTAAAATAGTGGGATTATTGGAGTGACTATTACAGTGATTACAGATGATTTCTTCTACAGTCGTTCATTATGCCCTTCTGCGAGTAAGTCTACTGTCAACTTACTGATCACATGAGGATGAAAGAAGGATAGATGATAAAGTTAGAAAGGGGCGTCATTACCACAACTACACTGATTTAATCAACTCCCAGACTGATCTGACATCTCAGAACAGTCTGGGAGTTGATTAAATAAGTGTGGTTGTGGTAACGACGCCCCTTTCTAACTCTATCATCTGAATTTGAAAAACTCCGATAACAAATGGGACTAGAATAGTGATCAAAACAGCTGTAAAAAAATGATGGATCATATTTTAGAGTTGAACAAGTCCGTCTGGGAGGTGTGCCCCCACATTCGACTTCCATTCAGAACCATGGTGACATAATGATTTCGTATGTGGCCCATACAATGACTTGCTGTAACGGGCCGACGGACAAGTCAGCTTTTTATCCCCAATCCCTCCTCTCAGACCTGTCTGGTACCAGCTACCTACCCCGGAGAGATGGAAAGCTTAGGGAGCAAGGGCGAGTATCGATCCGCGATTTGAAATCCAGACCATGTCTGTATGTGCGCCACTTGCCACTATACCATATCGTCCTTATTTTTTTTTTTTTGACAGTGCATAAAAATGTAGGTATGGAATCCAGGGCCTTCACAGGATGGTAAGAGAATAAAGAGAGAATCATCGAGGGTTCACGATGAGAATAATTTGTTTGTTCAATTCGAGATCTTTCTCTTAACAGTGTTGTGGTGTACAGATTTCGAATGAAGCTGGCCCCCTCATCTCCTCCTCCGATGTTCTCTGAACCCTCAACGCCAAAACACCTACTACGATGGCACGTGCATTTCGATAAACCCTTCATGAGCGAACGATCGAAATTATGTCCCATGAGATACAAAAAAAACTACCCATTTTTACGACTTCCCGTGGTGAAAAGATAAAATTCGCATGTGCAAAAAAGAGGCCTAGCGATTTTCGCTGTAAAATAGAGCGCATCAAAATCGGAAGGGCATTCAGTTCCAATTGTTCCAACGAAGATATGATAGAGGAAATGAGGCAGACGTCTTCGAAGCTTTTCTAACTAGTTACATCGAAGGGAAAAACCGCGATGAACTCCAAAAGCGCTGTGAAAAACAAGTTCATATCTGCTTCCCTAATAGTTGTAACTTAGCCTAGTCTTGAAGGGAGCGTCTAGCAAATAGCAAAATGGGTGTTGTTCCCGAATGATCGGCTGATCTCATCAAGGAGCTGTCGGTCTAGCAAACATTAGAGTCAGTTTAGCAGACTGAAGGAAGGAGACAGCCGGGAAATCACAGAAGGATCAGGACAAGCAACTGCAGGGTCGAAGTTAGCTCCGGAATGGGAATGACAAACTCACCTGGTTGAGCGGTGGTACCATCCTGTCAACGAGAATGTTGAAAACGCTCATCCTGATGGTTCTTGTTTCACATTGAACAATAGAAGGGTAAATAATGTTAGAATGAATTGCAAGGGTGTAGGGTCAATAGAAAAAACAATCGCTACCTATTGACTTTGACGAATTACTTGCACTCTGTTGGAGGAAAAGGGCGTGTTACCGTTGTGGTTCGACGGCGGCGGTGCTGCTGCTGCTGCTGTAGTGTCTCGTCGTTGGGCGGTTTTCGAGAATCAGTTCCACTTCGACAGTCATCGCCCGAGAGAGTTCCCCTCACCCCATTCAAACGTTACATTCAAAAACTCTAATCCAATCGATGCCCTCCTCTATCCGGAGGACAACAGGCAGCTGTTCGTGACAATTCTACTACAAATCTGCCCACTAGTGACCCACATCTTCGCTGAAAAACTCAGTTTTTTCACATCCTTTCGTTCGCTTTGACGTCAATACTTCACTAAATGAGTGCTAATCAATTGGAAATTCATTCCATCGAAAATGGTGGAACAACCACGGGTCGATCCGACGGAAAAGAAGTGGTAAATCCTTATACCTCTTGATTTTCTTTTCGGAAAAGTTGTAGAACGGTCTTACAATGTTGACTTTTCCGAGTTATTTCGTCTCAATTGGACTTCTTTTGATAAGTGCTAGTTTTCTTTGTTTTTATATTAGCTTCTTATTTCTTTTTATATTATTTTCTTATCTTCTGTTCTTTTTTAGTGTCCTAGTGTCACTTTAGGTCCATTTGCTCGGTTTTCAATATCGATTATTTTGTTTGTTTACTTCTTGTACCTTTTCCTAGGGGCTATGATGAATCGACCACAAAAAAAAATGCCATCAAAAAAATTCACTTTTTTATTTTAATCCTATCTCTATTTCTTGAATTTTTTTAATTTTAAAAATTTTCACTTTTTTATTTTGCCCTATCTCTATTTCTTGAAATTTTTTTTTAAATTTTTAATCAATCTTTATATTACAAAGCGTTTGTGTGAAGAAGTTCTGGATTGTTTTGTTCCGTTCTACCCTTGTAGCAACCTATTTGATCGCTTTCCTTGTTGTTTTTCTTGACGTTTGAGTAATTGATTTGATGTGATTTGATTTACCACATTACAAAAAAAGAAAACAAAAAGTTTCTCCTGAAAAAAAAAACTGACAGTGGAATTCAATCTAAGGGTTACAGTACATTTTTTGGTGGGACTTTTTGTTTCTTTTTCCCGGCAATTCGGTTGCCTCTTGGGAAAATCGATAATTAACGGGACGAGAGGGCAGTTTGGTAGCACTCAGGAAAAAGTGCCAGTACTGCCCAGAAAAGCTACTTGTACACCGGGGATTAGTTACTGCTAACATTCCTTTCCAAGTTTTTTTACCCAGTACAACCTAGCTCAGCTTTTGTTTACTTTGTTGTAGGTGAATGCAAGTTCCTTCAATCCTTTTTTTTTGCTTCAGAATCCTCCTCATCATCGTACAACTATATTGAAAGAATCTGAAATTAAATTTGGTTGGATTGAAGGAGTATTTATACGATGTGTTCAAAATATTATCGGTGTGATACTTTTTCTGCGTATTACTTGGGTTGTTGCCCAAGCTGGTGTCAGTGAGTTTTGTTTGTTTTTCTGCTCCATTTTCTATTTGTTTTTTCCCATTTTAATATCATTTTCTGCCTTTTTGAAGTCATTTTCCATAATCGGCATTTGAACATTGAATTAGTGAAGCAATTGAGTGAGATGTTGCTTTGGGAAAATTCTTTGGATTTCTTCAGCTTAGCTACTTTCTAACTTATGCAGTATTCGTAGGGAAAAAATGGAGCAGTGGGAACTGCCGCAGTCACTGCATTTTCGACCCATTGATCGAATCCTATACGGGATCCCGGCTACGGTAGCCTGGGCTTTGATCTATAAGTCTCAAGTGATGCTGAGACCATGAAAATATTCGCAAGTTAATGACTGAAGCTGTTATGTAAACAATTTCGGATGGACCTTTCATGCATGGCTCATCCCAGTTTTCTCATGAATTCAGTCTGTGACCGCTCTATACTTAATGTAAACGACTAGCATTTACTGGGTTTTCGTTACCGTCGGTTTCAAATCCTAGTAATAGTAGTAGTAGTTGAAGTAGTGTGCAGATAAAGGAGGCGGACGGTGTCCGAGAGCTTCGACATATTTCCTGAAACTTAGCTTGATCGCCAATGATAGCGTAGCTACAGACGCCGAGTATAATCGCAGTTTTGAGGCGTGGTCGTCGATTTTCCTTTGTCTTGTGTTTCTTCAAGGATATTGCCAACCTGAGTTTAAACTGAAAAATTCCTGTCGGCTTAGTTGTTAATCGTGCTACCGTTTTGTAAGTTTCTCGGCAGATCGATGAATTTGCTACCCCTTTTTTTCATAGGTAGCATATTTATCGACCTCCAAAAACTAATCGATGACTCCAGTTGACAGTCAATAGCAGTAGCAGTCACTCTGTACAAGACCAGTCAAGCTCTTGGCGTCCCTATCTCATTTCTAGAGAGATCACTCAAAGAGCGTCCAGCGCTGAAATCGTAAATGAGACGAAATGAGATAGTATCTCATTCAAAACTCGGACACCTTTTGGATTTCCGGCGTATTTTGGAGAAATTGATGAGTTGACCGTCAGGTGTTCTAGTAAAAAAAGCGATACGATACTTATCGAATTCTTTTGGAACGCATAAGGTTGGCCATGGTCTTTTTTCGTGGTTTGAGAAGAATCCGGTCAATGCATTATATTCGAAACGCCAGACTATAATGGCAATGCACTCAAGGACAATCATTTTTCTTTTGGAGTACACTATTCATCCGACCTTCAAGCAAGATTGCAGCAGTTCTCGAATCATGAGAACGAAATTTCCAGAAAAAAAATGCCTCAAGGGTTTTTACAGCCCAGAAGACAATCAATCCATGTTATAGAGAATCACAATTATTCTTATGTACGCAGGCATGGATTGCATGAAAGCCTCCAGAACATACTAGAAAAAATCTGGACTATTGCCAATTTCCGGTGGACACTACCGGAACAACCTATTGAGAGAACGTCCTTAAAGGCACGGTTCACGTTAAAAAATGTTACTGAGTCCTTCCTTTAGGGATACTCAGCTAATCGCCGAGTGATGGGGCGATGTTTTTCTCCCATTCTTTTTTCCCCTGTTTTTCTTTTTGCTGCCGCCATTGTCTGATTTTCGCACCAGGACCCACACGCGCGCAGTGAAACACACTGTTTAGCTCGTCCAGACGCCCCACTCTTCTTCATTTTTCTGCTTTCATTCTCGTCCAGCCCCCTTTTTAACGGAATT